TGCGCGGCGCGGGAATGGCGTAGGCCTTGTCCGGCAGCCGGAGGAGATGCGGCCCAGCTTAGCACTCACCGCCTCTTCTCCTCGTCGAAGCTGAGAACGAGCCGCGGCCGCCGGTTGTCGCCGTCTCGCTTCTTCTTCTTCTTGTTGCGGCCCATAACTGTGAGGCCTGGGCGGTGCGGCTCCCGCTCCCCTAAGACACTTCCGGTGTAGCGTCCTCAGCCTTCCGGGCGCGCCTGGCAACGACGCTCCGAGGTTCCATCCACTAGAGCTGGTCTTTTAAAGGGACCGCCCCAGCCAGTCTCCCCATCCCTCCCTTCTGGGTGTAACAAGCAGAAATCCGCCCGGCTACTCCCAGCCCCATTCCTTCTAAACAAGCACGGTACCCGACACAGAGTAGGTGCTCAATATGGAGTTATTAGTGAATGATCCAAGATTGTTGATCCTACTTTTTTTTTCTTTTAGTGTTTTTATTTTTTTATTTAAAAACATATTTTATTGATTTTTTTACAGAGAGGAAGGGAGAGGGATAGAGAGCCAGAAACATCGATGAGAGAGAAACATCGATCAGCCGCCTTCTGCACACCCCCTACTGGGGATGGAGTCCCCCAACCCAGGCATGTGCCCTTGACCAGAATAGAACCTGAGACCCTTCCATCTGTAGGCTAATGCTCTATCCACTGAGCCAAACCAGCTAGGGCTTATTGATTTCAGAGAGGAAGGGAGAAGAGGAGAGAGAAACATCAATGATGAGAGCGAATCATTGATTGGCTGCCTCCTGCACACCCCCTACTGGGGATCGAGCCCGCAACCTATACATGTACCCTGACGGAGAATCAAACCTGCTGACCTCCTGGTTCATGGGTGAATGCTCAACCACTGAGCCACACCAGCGGGGCCTGATCCTACTTTTGATCCTGATGTTCACTTCGGGGTGCTCTCCAAGATCACGTTTCTGGAAGTAAACTACCTGGATTAGAAACCTGGTATCCCAATTACAACTGTGGGTGCTGGACCACCTGCCGTTGCCATTTGTAAAATGGGGATAATTACAGCGAACTTTGTCGTGTTATTGTAAGGCGGTGGTTTTCCAACTTTGGTGTGCGCCAGAATCTCCTGGGGGAGGGGGTGGGGGCTTGCTGAAACCCAGATCCCTTGGCCCCACTCCAGAGTCTCTGATTCAGCAGGTCAGGAGTGACCCCCAGAATTTGCATTTCTAACACTTCACCAGCTGATGTTGCTGGTCCATGGACCAAACTTTGAGAACATGATTGTGAGGACTAAATGAGTTATGTAACATGTGTATCACATAATCATGCCACATGTTTGCCACACAAGTTGTCTCCCCTCTCTATGCCTCAGTTTCCCAAGTATGGCGTAGGGGTGTCATAACTAATCCTCTATTGGACATGCAGGTGCGGATATTAAGGCATTCACTAAAACAACACCTGAAGGGGAGTGCTAGTAGCTGGGATTACATGCCTGAACCTCCCTGTAAACAATGATATAATGGAGCCACTTTAAAATGGAACCAGAGCTGCCATCCCAGAGGGAGCTGCCTTGTGCCTCAAATCTTTGAAAAGTAAAAAGCAGGGCGCAGTAACCCTGGACAGGCCTCAGCACCTTGTTTCCCTAAGAGCTGTGTGCAGAGATAATAAGCAGTTATCGTGACTCATGGAAAGATGACTACTAGACTGAAAATTTAAAACATTGTTTAGCATTCACATCACTATGTTGTTCTGCACCGATAGAAATGCCTTCCTTCTGTTGATGCAATTGTCCCCCTTCCCTGTCTCATAAATACCACTTGCCTTTGTCTCCTAATCAGAATATTGTTTGGGCTTCTGCCTGAATTATTGATTCCTTAATAACTATCCTTGCTGGATTCAAATAAATGCTTATTTGCCTCTCACCTTGAAAGGCCCCTTTATTCTTAGGGTAGCACTCCATTCTCAACGCGTCTGTGCTGGGTGGTCGTACAGACTGCAGGAGTTCGGGGTTGGCTCCTCCGGTGTGGAGTGCTTCCCAGCGGTGGTGGCCCCAGAACAGCTGAGAGTGGGGATACCAGAGGCATAAAAGACTCTTAGGACCCATCCCTCTCCTTTGATAAGTGAACGGATCCCAGAGAGCAAGTCAGCACTCTGAGTGCCGGTTGAATGCCAGGCACACAGAGAAGTGAACGAGCTCGGCCGGCCTGCTTCAGTGGCTGAGCGTCGACCTATGAGCCAGGAGGTCACGGTTCAATTCCCCCCAGTCAGGACACATGCCCAGGTTGCGGCTCAATCCCCAGTGTGGGGCATGCAAGAGGCATCTGATCAATGATTCTCTCTCATCATTGATGTTTCGATCTCTCTCCCTCTCCCTTCCTCTCTGAAATCCATAAAAAAATATTTTTTAAAAAAAGAGGTGAAGGAAACCAACATTTACAGAGCCCTTACTATGTGCCACGCACCATACATTCTCTACATTATCTCAGCAAACCCTTGCAACAACCCATAGGGTAGATACTAGTATAAGTGCAATTTGATAAATGAGGAAACAGGTTCAGAGACGTTCAGTAGCTGCTCTGAGGGCAAACGGTGATGGAGCTGGGGTTTGAACATAAGTCAGATTCCAGCCCAGTTTCCTTCCTCCATATGTGGTGGTCTCTCTGCTGATCTGTCCCAGGGCTTTCCTCTGGCTCCATGTAGACCCAGTTCTGCTCTATCGTGGGTGTTCCGCCAGTTCAGGGAGAATCAGTGTGAGTGAACTCTCAGGACTCCAGAAAGGCAGTTGAGGGGACACTTTCTCCAACGTCCAGCAGAGGGCGCCCTTCCACAGCCAGATTTCCAAAGCCGTTTCTGGGTGGCCACTTGGGTGACTCAGGAGAGCCTGGAGGTTGGGTGTGGCTCTTAGGAGCCGCGGTCTGTGCGCTCCTTCCTTCCAGGCCCTCTTACAGAACTGTGCTTCCTAGGGGACCCGCCGAGGTGGGACTCCCGCCCGAAAGGGCCCAGGTGTGAGTAATAACCCCCCTTTGATGGGTGAGGAAATGAAGGCTGGAGACAGACAAGACCTCCCCAGGGCCCCCCAGCTGCTGCTGGCTGTTCTGGGAAGTGAGATTCGCCAAGCTCCCATTCCCGGCTCGGCTGGGTGTGGCACAGACCAGGGCACCACGTTGCCACTCAGAGGCTTGAGGGCCGTGGGGGCGAGAAACCACTACTGTTTACCATGGCCTTGCACTCATCTTCCTCTTTCACACAGTTCTCTTCATCCTCACGACTGGTTATGTGCTCCTAGTCCCCCCGCATGTGGATAACCAAGGCTCCGGTCAGTTCGTGCACACAAGGCCACACAGCTGCAGCCCTCACCACCGTCTGAACAAACCAGCTCTTTCTAGCTCGTGAGGACAAATGAGGGGCCCACTTACCCTTCTCCGTGCTGCCCCAGATACCAAGGCATGAGTCAGTCCGCCCTGGCCTTTCCCCCTGGTTTCACTTATTCATCTTTTGAGCACCTACTGTGTGCTGGGGCCCACTAGAGTTGGAAGCTGTGTGTCACCAAGTCCCCTACTGTGTACTGAGCTCTCTTCTCCACCCCCGGGGGACTCAGGGGAAGATGATGTCACTGGCACTTAACAGGTGGGCATCAAGGCCCTGGATAGCAGAAAGGGGCAGAGCCAGGGGGTGTTAGTGGAACACGCCCTCTTACACTTACTTACACACACACACACACACACACACGCAGGTGGGCATCAAGGCCCTGGACAGCAGAAAGGGGCAGAGCCTGGGGGTGCTAGTACCCTCTTACACTTACACACACACAAATGAGGCTGGTTCAGGGGGAAGAGGCAGCTGCCTTTTGAACGAGTATCCATCTGGCAGCTGGATGGTCAGGTCGGTCTGGTCGAAGGAGATGCACACCTTGGGAGAGGAAAAGGGCAGTGAGCAGGGTCCCCAGCGGGAGCCTCTGCAGCCACAGCCACGGCCCGCAGGCCACGGGCCCCCCCAGAGCCCTTTCCTCCTGTGGCCCTGACCTCACCGGTGAGTCCACTCAGGTTGGGGGAGCGGGATGACACAGCGGGTGAGAGAGGGAGAAAAGGGGGTGGGCAGGAAGGGCAAAGTGGGGCCTAGGTCTCTAGCCACTAAACCCAGCTCTGCTCCAGCCCACCCAGCCCCTGGCCCCCCGGCCCCAGCCCCAGCCCCTCCGGGCTGGAAGGGGAAGGCAGTCTCCCGCTGCTCAGCCCCCCAGGCCCCGCCATCCTTGCTGTTACACACAATGGTGTTGATGTCTCCATGTATATTGAAGCGAGGGTTGAAGTGCAGGCACATATTGTTGTCATCTTTGCCCAGGTTCAGCGCGAAGCTAGGGGGTAACAGGTGGGAGGGATTAAGGCCTCTGAGGCCAGCTGTAGGCCAGCGGCAGCCCCCTCAGACCAACCATTCTCTGGCATGCAATGCCTAGAGAGCTGGAAGAATGCATTGAGGCCGGAGGTGAGAAACCTGATTCTATGTCTTGGCCGGCCACCTCCTTGATGTGTGACCTTGGACAGGTCCCTGCCACTCGCTGGGTCTCAGGTTCCTCATCTGCCCAATGGCGGCCACACAAGAGGGAACTCTAGGGGTCTTGCTGTGCTGACAGCCAAGACCCTTGCAGACTGTGGTTTGTGACCCAGCCCTTTGGCCGCGGTCGGAGACTCCCTCCAGATGACCTCTGGGAGTGCCAGCGCCCCCCTCTGCCTTGTGTATCTTTGTATCCGTGGTGCCCAGCACGATGCATGACATGCAGAAGGCACTCAATAGCTCTGGGGCGAATGAACAAATCACAACCCATTTGCTAAGTGGAGGAAATAGCAACCCTGGCCCCTGAGGTTTGGTAGGAATGAAATGAGTAATGCACGCGGCTCTGATGGTGTCAGCTGATCATCTCCGCACCGAGAGATCCGGCATCTCACATCCTCCACACAACCACCGACCCCTTGTTTTGGTTACTGATTAACAAACTGAGGCTCAGTGCAGTTGGTTGACTAGTCCAAGGCCGGTCACATGGCTGCTGAGAAAACAGACCAGCGGCCTGAATGATGAATGAAGGAAGGACGGAAGGAACGGAAAGGTTGAGCGCTGGGCTGCGAGTGAAGATCGCAGGAGAGAGGGACCGCAGAGGGAGAGCATTGGGCGTGACACCCCTCTCATTTCCCTCTCCCCGCCCCGCAGCCTCAGGTCCCGCCCAGAGCCTGGAGGAGGGGGCAGGCCGAGGTATGCGATGGAGCCGCAGCTGGTTTAGTTTAAGAGGCTCCAGTCGGGAGGGGAGGGGGCGGCTCTGGTGGAGGCATCCAGATCCCGCGGAAGAAGTGACTCATCCAGAAAACCCAGCTTTGGCCTGCGGCCACCAGAGGAGAGGCCAGAGTGGAGCCTGGCTGGCCACGCCCCTACCTGACCTGGGCTGGACCCTCCGGCTCCCAAGCTCCCAGACCCGGCCACACCCGGCCACTCCCGCCTTCACCCCCTCACCTCTTGGCGTCGGGGGCTATCTCGCCCCGCACTCGGAGGCACTCCCCAGGTTTGAGATTCAGGTTGCTGGCGACCAGATTCTGCAGGCAAGACCCCACCCAGACGGGTTAGACCGTTAGAGGATGCAGCGTCCCTGGCGGTGGGGTTGTCTCCACCTGGGTCCTCTGACCCCGTCAACTGGGAAATCAGGTGCAAGTTCTAGCCTCTCTTTCTCTGTGTGGCCCTGGGCAATTCCCTGCTCCCAACCGGGTCAGTTTCCTGGTGGTTTCCTATCCGCAACACGACTGAGGTTCTAGAATCCAAGGTCTAGAAGGTTCTGCGGTTTAGCGTGGAGATTTTGGATTCGGGGTGCTCTCGTGCCTCATGGAACGGATGGAGAGAATCAGACTCTGTGTGAGTGAGGGAGTTGGTGCACAGGAAGGTGGATGGAGGGGGGCTGCCCCTCTGCTGGAGAGGAAGGGCCTGGGGCTGCAGACCCCCCCGCTGCCAGCCCCTCTGCAGAGGAGGGAGGTGGAGAGGAGGCCCCACGGAGCAGGGCCCGGCTCCTTTGGGAGGGAGCGAGGCCTTGGTCCGAGTTGGCAGTCTGGCTGGCTGGGGGTTAACAGGATTGAACGCACAGCTTAACTGCCAGCGAGTGGTTCCTCCTGCCAGAAACTTGAGCGGTTTCCCTCCGGCCTGGGGAAGATTCCGGCCTCCTTCTCTCCCCCGGCCCCCACCTGACCAGCCTGGACAGAACCCCTTCCACCCACTCACCCGGGAGGCCCCTTTCCCGGGCAGCCATCTCGGGGCCTGGCGCCTTTTCAGACTCTCTAGAGCAGAGGGTGACTGGCCTGGCCGGGTGACTGGAACAGCTGCAGCGGGGCGGCTTTTGGGGTGGAGGAGGGGGACGGGACAGTGGCCTGGGTGCCATCAAAGTGCCTCCCCCCCTCAAGCCGGCCACACCCTTTCTACTCCTACTTCTCAGAGAGCTGCAGAACGTAGGACCTTGGCAGAAATAACTGTGCTGTCAGACCCTGGAGGAATCCAGAACATTCTTAAGCCCGAGAAAGTCTTGGGGGACCCTGGTGCCCACCCCCATCTGTAGCCACGAAGGGCCCAGAAAAGAGAAGGTACTTGCTCATGGCCACACCGTGGGGACTAGGACCCTGACTGCCCGCACCCTCCCAGCTGTCTGCCCGATGCCACCCCGAGCCTTGGGGCGGGGTCCCCGCACTCACACAAGTCATGACTGAGGACAGAAGGATGGTCCTGGGGACTGCAGCACCAGCTGTCTGAAGACTCCACCCGAGAGAGAGATGGGCCCTGAGCCGCTCCCACCCTTTTAACGGGACCAGACCCCGGTGAGTCCCGCCCCCTGGAAGCTCAGCCAATTGCAAGTCAGGACAGGGATAGGGGGCCACTGGAGGCGGAGTCCATGGACTTTTGCAGCCAGTTCTGGAGCAGAGCTGACCAATCAAACTGGTGACCACCCCCCTCCATGCCTTCGTAGCCACGCCCCCAGGGTCCAGGCTCCACCTCTCATTCTCCCTCATCCCTCCCCAGCCCCCACGAAAAAAAATTGTGCGGTGGCAGGGATTGGGGGAAGCCAATGGAAAATAGTTTGAGGATGAGCTGGGCCCAGGAGTTGGCGGGAAGGGGCCTGGGGCCAGCAGGCTGAGCTAGGGGTACCCAGCGAAGACCGCGGGGCGTGGGGGTGTGGGGGGGGGGAATGCAAGGTC